CCAGTCCCTGCTAATGAACGTGCCATCAAGCCTCCACATGATGGCAACTGAAAACTGCCTGAAAGTGAAAAATCTTTAAGGGCTCCAAGCTTCACTGGGGTCTTACTTCTGTCAAAACTTCCTTAATCACGTTAATGAACCAAAAATCCTGATGAAAAATGCAATGATTGCCTGTACATGATCTGTTGCGCCAGCCCTAGGATATTCTTCCCAGTTTTGTCATGTTTGGCATCTCTGAAATTTCATACTTTCAATAGTGAAGGTCACTGCTATTACTGTCTTGTAAGAGAAACCACAGTGCTCCCAACTGGCCTGTAAAAAAGTAAACAAAAAACGCCGCCCAAGGTTAAAGTTTTTTCTAGTTACAAAAAGTTACAAAGTATGAATCCTAAGTGGCAGTTCCAAAACAACATGTGTGGAGGAGCCTACGGCCCAAGACGTAACTGAACCTAAAATATAGTAAGTATGAGACAAAGGTCTTTCCAAACCCATGCCCTTGGGAATTGCAGTGGGGCTATTTCCCCATCAACCGTGATTGTTTTGAATGCCTGTTGATGTCTCTAATTGTAGACATCTATTTGTCCATTGTCGAGAAGTTGTACATTTCAACTTGCCAGGACATCCATCTCTCTCATAACCACTGTCACGTCGAAATTTTGCCACCAGAAACGACAACATATGCACTGCATCAGGAAATGATTGTTTCCTCCCAACCTGGGGTGCTTTAAAACTGTTGGCCCAGTCGAGGGGTCATGCACACCTTGGCAAATCTCTTTAGATTAAAGTCTTCTGGACCTTCCTCTCTTGTATGATTTAATATACGCTTCAGTATATTATAGTAGTCGTTGAACCCATGATGGTAGACACCGGTTATTGGGTGCACTTTAGGAACATTCAAGTGCATACTGAAGTCTACTCCCTCTTTTTCCCTGCAATTCAGTGTCAGTATGGGAAGATAGCTACTACTGTTCTTAACTTGTCTAGAAGACTTTCTGTTTTTGGCCAGAGTAGAAAGGGCTCACCAGCTGGTCCCACCAGATTTCCTCCTTTCTTAGTAATAATATCTACAAATGTTTAATGTAATTCTTGTCAGTGATTTCAGAAAAGTGATTTTGAAATAAACCTCTTCCTCTCGCAGGGTTTAATGAAATTAATGTAGTATGCTTGTTAGAAATGAGTTTGCGGTGTTACTGTCCAGATAGGGCATATTTCCTTGAAATCTATTGGTAAATTCAATTTGCAACTATCTGAAAGATGATCATGTGCTTTCGCCTTGCTCCGAGGTCAGTCGCTGTATCCCTTCACTCTTCTAATTCCCAAGAGCACTTCTCATTTTCATCTTCAGAATGTCCTGAGTCTAACATTTAAATGCGATTATTAAGCATGTCTTTCTTTTGAGTTGCATTTAACAGAATCGTTCTAAGACCTTGTGACTGTTTTGGCAGAACAAAGTTCTGTTACGACTCAAATATAATAAACATTCTGATGGGGAGTTGATCTTAGTGTTTTTGTTAATGCTACAGTAGTGCTCAAGGAATGTTTGATAGAATATTCAAATGCAATGTCTTATTTGATCAAACATTGTGTGGCCTGTCCATTAATACAGTGTTACTCAGCTCCTTTCTCTTTGTTGAGGCTCAGTAATGTTTTTGATGTAAATTTGTATCCTTGGCGCTAATTTGAGTCAGCACACTAAATGTAGTCTCTGGAAGGCTGGAGTGCCCTTTACCTAATACCAGGTCGATAGCACTTATCGCATTTTTTGCCCACTCAGCAGACGTTTGTCCTTGGCATTTAGTGTCAAGGTAAAACCCATTTTCATCCTCAAAACTCTCCTTGCATTAACACTACTTATGGATGGAAGGAACAGGAGCCCCCTTCCCATTTGTGGATTTGGGGAATAAGCGGGCAGAAAAAAAGGCAACCTGCAATTACTGTAAAAATATTTACTTTAACTTGCAGACGTCAAAGTCTCTTAATGTTTCCTCCTCCATAGCAATGGGCAGATTCACCATATCCTGAGCAGGCGCTTTTAGTGAAAATGGAGTGCCAGTCCTTCAAGGAGCCACAAAATTCATAAAAAGCTCACAGCCAACAGAAGCAATATTACTTTTTAAAGTAAAACAAACATTAGGAAACAGATTAGAGTAATAATTTAGCAAAGTTGTTAATTGCAGTTGGATGGGGGCCCATGGGTCTTTTTTACTGGAACGATTTCCCTCCTTGTATTAAGAAGCAACAAACCATAAATGTAGGCTTGTTTTCTTCTATTCTTTTTCCACCTTAATAAAAATAACAGATTAAAAAATTGTTTGTGTATATAACATTACCAAGATATTAACCTGGATGACTTAGCAGCCGTTAAAATCTCAAGAAGACAAAAAAGAAGCTGTTTCTAACCTCTCTGTGGTTGTCGTGCTCTTTTTTAGATCCTAAAAGAGCTGATTTTGATTCCCAGCTTTGAGTGGAGCGGTAAAAGAGCCTCTTCCATTGCGTTTAACTAATTTCATGTAACTTAAATGTGCACTTTCAGCTGACGGTGATTTTCCAAAACCCGCTTGGTTATAATGTGGGATTAAGTGTAGTTGATTGGAAGTTTCTAAATCATGTATATTCAATATAGAATTCGAGGATAAATAGTTCAGCAAGATGTTCAGCGTTTCGACCAACTTTCAAAATATTCTTAATAGTCATAAGAAGCCCATTCTTGAATGCATGTCAAAACTTCCTCATGTGAAGTTGGGTTTTCAACTATGCGGTCATTTGGCTTAATTTTGCCAGTAGTAATACAAACATTTAAATTGACGTGCTCAGTCTCGTCTGTCTCTGTAGATGATTTGATGTATTTATAGGAAATATACAATCACCAACACATCATTAACCCAGAAAACTGAACTGTGTGTTAGTATTGGAATAACGAAAAAATATTACCATGCATAATTGTCATAGTATGAAAATGAAATCTCGTATTTTATTATAAAGGTTATCAGTTAACCTTGCATTTAAAGTCCTGGTAAAAATTTAGGACAAATTTATTGTCTTCCCCACCGTTGATACTCCCAGAAATTATTTTTACATCCAAACCAACCACTTTCGTTTGAACTATAAATTTGAACTTAAATTTTTACTAACATACTGGAGGTAATTTAACATTCCTAGATATCTAAAGAAATATTACTTTTGCACCTAGAGAATAGGGTGTGAATAGGGTGGGTAGGGATAAATTTTAAACCCGGGGAGAGTANTGTCATAGTATGAAAATGAAATCTCGTATTTTATTATAAAGGTTATCAGTTAACCTTGCATTTAAAGTCCTGGTAAAAATTTAGGACAAATTTATTGTCTTCCCCACCGTTGATACTCCCAGAAATTATTTTTACATCCAAACCAACCACTTTCGTTTGAACTATAAATTTGAACTTAAATTTTTACTAACATACTGGAGGTAATTTAACATTCCTAGATATCTAAAGAAATATTACTTTTGCACCTAGAGAATAGGGTGTGAATAGGGTGGGTAGGGATAAATTTTAAACCCGGGGAGAGTAAAGTGATTTGCTCATCTGTCAGTTGTTCGTTTGACAGGGTTGTGACGTTTTCTGTGCTGTGTTGTCGTAACGCATTTTCCCTTTGATTCTCTTGTGTTCTTTTCTCTTACGGTTGAAACCCGTTTTTTGCTTTCTGAATATATCGTTTGCTTTTCCCCTTATTTCTTAAGACTCGTATAATAAGCGGGGGTAGGATTCATATCGTATATTCTCAGGAGTGGTCGTGGCTTGACTGGCTTGTGGGTTCCAGACGTTTGACACATAACATCCAGCTGATTTGCCATTCGTCGAAGGGCATCTTTAACGTTGTTCAGCTCGTTGTTGCTCATATTGATTTAGAAGTAATGTAGATGCTCCTCTAAATATCTGTGCATCAGTGGCAAGAGACGCCGCTATCTTGGTTGTGTAAAAGGAGAGACCAGGAGACGAGACCGGAGACTGGAAACAACCCCTGTGGTTGGCCTGTCACGTCAGCCTATGACATATGATACATTTTGGCGGACATTTTACGCTGTACGCACAATGAAGTCAGAATTCGCAATGGTGAACTTTTATGGCACAGCAATTATTCACGACTAATTGCGTCTCATACGTTGGTTTTTGGTTTCTCAAGTTGAACGCGCACTCAATTTTCAAGAACAAGTGATCACGGTTAAGTGTTAAGAGTTTAAGTTGAATAATTAACTTTGAACGTTGAAACGTGAAGTTGAAAGTTAAGTGCTATAACTTAATGTTAGCCGCTCAAGTTGAATGTTGAGGACTCAAGTTGATTTTTGGGAGTTTAAGTTGAATAAGTAACACTGAATGTTGAAACGTGAAGTTGAATGTTGAGTGCTATAACTTAATGTTAGCTGCTCAAGTTGAATGTTGAGGACTCAAGTTGATTTTTGGCAGGGATTGAACACTATATTTCTAAGCGTTTGTGTCATTTACATGCAAAGCTCAGTGGGCAATTTTCAAGGCCCGTAAATATACATACATATGTTACCTTTATTTTTCCTCGAATTTAAGAGTAGCCTTAAGGGCGCTAATATTTCTGAGAGAAAACACAAAAAAGATATACAACAAAATGGTACTGGAAGTCAATGAAAATAAGACTTTCTACAATAATTACAAAAACTGCATACTATATATTACTCACCAATTAAAATTATTTAATATCTAGGCTATCTAATTGTTTCTTAAAGTTAGTAAAATTACTAGTATGCATTGAGTCCAGCAGTAAGTTCCATTGTCTTTTTTCATGTTCTTGCTGAAGTGGCACACAGGAGGATGTGGCATTCGGTGAGTTTTGCCATTACATTTTCCAAGGCGACTGCACTTGTTATGCCTTCTATGATGTGCAACACGTTCTTTATCTGACCCAACAATTCACATCATTTGGCATCACTGGTCCGGGTCGTAGAGCTTTTTGAGGAAGATAGTGCATTGTTACTTCATCTTCATCTTTGTTCACGGCAGAAGTCGTGAACAATATATGGTGTCCGAATTAGCTTCTGTAACTCCTGCCACTTCTCTATCTCTGTTCCATCTTGCCACACCTTCCAGCAAGAAGGCATGAAAGTGCAGATCATTTGCACTGGTACCTCAAATCAAGAAAATAGAAGTATCATAGGTACTAATGATGACATAAAGAAATAAAATTTTTTAATACTGATAATAAAAACAACAATAAGGAGAATTTATTTTTTGCATACATTTTTTTCTGGCAGCTTTTTACGATTTTTACGTACATGTTTAAAAAGTAATTATATCTAATTTCATAGAAAAAATAAACAATTAACATACCAGGAATAAAGAAGTCAAGATGGTTGTGACATGTTGAGCCTCTGGAGCAGCAATAGAGTGGAAGCTCTCTACCACCTTTCACTATTTTGCTAGTTTTGGTGTACAGCTGAACAACCTCTGGATCTTGAAGGTATGCAATGTCCTGCTCTGACTCCCATATGGTCCATATGCAGTCACAGTCAAGCAGTGGCACACCTAAGGTGTCATTTCGTTGTGGCCCAGAGAATTCCTCGGGTAAGTTAGAAATGCGCATGGTGGTCACGTGAAGTCTGTGTTTTCTGCCCTACATGGAGGGACAGCTCCTTTTTGGTAATGTGCTTCATGACATCCTCACCGACAGGTTTTGGACACTGAACCTGGCTAGTTGGGCAGCCTTGGCTCTTTTCAGAAGGCTTAGACCCTCTCATCTCCACTAAAAAATACACTGTGACAGTCGGGCCATAAATGTACCATTGAGTGGATGTGAATCTGTATTGGGAGACCAAAGGAACAGGGGTTCACACCGAAGCGCCACCTGCTTGACAAAAATTGGTGCCCTGGTCATTAGGATATAAGCACCCAGCACACCATCAGGCTACCTTCCAGGGGCGCGAAACCTAGAGAATGTAAACCAAAGAAAGTCAGATGTCAAATATAACTATTTTGGTACAATGAATAGTCAACAAATACAGTGGAATGCCCAAAGGTCCCATTGTAACAGTTTGAGAAGCCATTCCGGAGTTGCACCAGGTGGAAAAAAGCATTTCCTTCGCTTCCTGTTTCTAAATTCCAATTACCCCTTAGGGGCAAAGCCAGTCTCGCCAAGTATCTTATGTTACCTAAAATAGCCAACAACACTTTGCGGCTTTTCATCTTTTCTTCGGCGTGCTGATTACACAGTAGCTCGCCGACATCACCAATGACTTCTGCTGGTGTAGATATGTATCTTGTGACCGCTTCTTTGTAAAGCACTGGCTTTGTGTTTTCTAAAACCTTTATTCTTTTTGGTTGCACTTTTGCAGTTATTGTAGCCATATCGCATAAATACGTTATCTGTGTTTCCTGATGCAATCAAGTTGCTTGCTACAGCTTTGATACAGGTATGGCAAAATACAGCATCAAGACTTTCAACGTAGTGCAGCCACGGATGGCGATCAAACCACCGCGACTGAAAGGACCTGTTCCTGTTTCCTTAGGACTTAGAAGGAAATGATAAATTTCTTGGCTGATTTGGTCTATCTCCTAGTAGAGTCAACTAGGAACCAACTGCTTTAACAGACTCAACAGCAGCATAATCCTGGCCACTTTCAAAACTCCCCTCTGGTATTTCTGCAGCGCAAGACTCTTCTACATTCTCATCCTCGACTCTCGCCTTAGTATCCTGGGGCTTTACCCAGGATAAAAGGGACTTCTGCTTGGTTTTTCCGGGTTTTTGAGAAGACGTTGTTGACCTTACATCATGTTCCAAAGAACCAACAACACGAGCAAAGAATAAACAGACAGAAATCCGAAAATAAGGAGAGAACGAGGCGTCTAGATGTCTAGACACGTCTAGACATTTGAGACATTTTTTCACATTGTTGTCACGAATCACTTTCTGGTTTGTTTTAGTTTTTGGCTGTTTAATATTGTTGTGCATTACCCTACGTATGTTAAAAAATGAAAAGAAGTACAAATGTTATTGTTTTCAACCTCTCGAGAGATAATATTTTATTTTCAACATTTTTTACAGGTCTGTTTTTACTTTTTAGGAAAAAAAACTGGGAGGGCACGGGCCCCCCCGGCCCCTCCCCTTGCTACGGCACTGACATTTACAAGTACAGATGCACAATAAGTCATAACCATCATTACAAGCCTTACTATCTTCTGACAATTTTCAATGTTTGGCATTTTACCAGGTGGTTGCCATCCATGATGCTTTGTGTGAACCCCGCTAACACAAAGTAGTTTTGAGGAAAATCAGTCTTGATTTCGAGAAAATTCGGCAATACACTGCCAACATTTTTTCTCCAACATGGTCGATCTATTCCTTGGGTAAATATTTTGATTTTGATTTCCTGCCTCCCTCTCCCACGTTGTTGCGGGACAGTGAAGGTATTCAGAGAGTTGACTAGGCCATTGTGCCCCCAAAATCCACTAAGAGGGTCTCATCACATTACCACCTTGACTCACTGTTGGCTTAATTATCCCTGACTGTCGCTCTCAAAGAGCTGCCCTTTGGTTCACTAATGTGTAGGTTTGCAAACAAAAATGGGACAGAAAAAGAATCGTCTAGCTGGAAGAGGTACACACATGTGAGCATGTTTTCCTCGCTCTTTCTCTTAAATAATGCTCTATTCAAAATTTGGGAATGAACAATCTAAATTCTTACTTAAGTGAATGAAAATGGATATCTCAGTATAATTATTGAAACATTATTTGATAAGAATCCACTTCTTTGTTTCTTTACAAAAAATTTCTTCAAGTGCGTAAATCATGCATACAATAACAAAGTCTACCAATACTCTTCCTAAGCTCATGGTGTGCAGTTTATGACCAGTACAGTTCTGGACCTCACACCTTATTTTCTTATTTTTGAGAAAGATGTACTGCTTACGCCCAAGTAATGTGCGAGAAGCTTTTCATTGAGAGGAGCATTTCCTGCTAAACTGTCAATTTAAAATTACGACCAACTGTAGGGGAAGAAAATGAATTTTGATGATCCATGGAAGAAAAAGAAAGGAGGTAGCAGGTAGCACACACACGCTTTCACAGCGTGGTAAACTAATTAACTCCTGGCTGCATCGGATTACTGGGATGTCTTGTTGCACATAATTGAACTTGTAATACATTGTCCCAGGGAATGGACATGGTTCATGGGGTGCACTTAGGTCAATCACACAGTTAAGAACTTCCAGTTATTTGACTCTTTTTGCCAACGGCATAAAATAGTGCTTTCAGATATAATAAAGGATTAAATAAACTGCAAAAACTGTGGACGAAGATCCTGCTAGTTGTAAACGTTGGATCTCTAGAAAAGAGATCAAATCAGCCAAAATATAAAGAAGCAAGAACGAGAAGTCCAAAGACTACTGCAAAGCTGATTTAAAACAACGTTCATTGTTTTTTATAACAATATTTCGGCTGGCCATACCAGCCTTCTTCAGGTATACAGATGTTACTGAACTTGTGTGGCAATAACAATATTATATAGATGGAGAATGTCGCAATAAAAGGGAGAGGTGGAAATGACGTACAACATAAAAATACTAAGGATATGGATTACAATAATTCGTCATGGCGGTTTAGGCCATGAGGTTCAAGAGTCATGGCCTTATCTATCAAATGCAACTCCCTGGCCTTACGAACTGAGTCACGTGAAGAATGAATTTTCTCTAGTGGGATTAACTGCATGTCATTATGAGAATGGTTAGAGTGTGAGAGAAAGTGTTCAGAAACAGTAGTGGGTTTAGATTTAATGTTAGTTTTGTCGACTGCACGTCTGTGTTTATTAAATCTGTCCTTGAGACGTCGCTAAGTCTCACCTATGGATTGTAAATTACAACGGTTACATTGAACCATGTAGATCACATTTTGTGTTACAAGTAATGTGTGAAGTGATGGAGCGTGTTTCACCTGTAAAAGGTATAACTTGTGAGGCCGTTAGTAATGTATGGACAAGTGGCACAATTCTGTCCACAACAGAAGGAGCCTGGCGGAAAATGATTGGTGGAGATAACGGGTAGTTGTGCTGTAACTAAAAGGTCACGAAGATTAGAGCTACGTCTGTAAGCAACAAAAGGCGTTTGCTTAAAGATGTCTCAGCAACGGTTAGAGGAGTGTAAGGTGTTGAAATGTTTGCAAAGGATATTAGAAATGCATGAAAGTGCTGGGAAAGGAATTGCGCAAATTTAGTGTCATTAAACTTTCGGTTGCATTCGTCTATGTACCAGGATTTGTCCATAACAACCATTCCCGAGCCTTTTTCAGCTGGTTTGATTATTATGTCTTGTCGCTTCTTGAGGTTGCGTAATGCTTGTCGTTCATCTTTTGTCAAGTTGTCTGTGATGTGATTACGATTAACTGTAAGGATGTCATGTTTATGGCGTCTCGATCAGTAGGAGGCGTCCATGAGCTTTTGTTATGAAATGGGTTGTGTTCGTAAGGTTGAGTGCTGTTATTGTGATAATGAAAGTATTCTTTTAAACGCATGCGTTGCGTGAAGTCGTTAATATCAGCAGATAATTCTGCCAAATTAATACATTTAGGTGTGGGGCAAAAGGTTAAGCTGCGAGCGAGGACCAATAATTTGTCATTAGAAAGTGGGGTTTGGGACAAATTAATAACAGAGGTGGTGTCGAGATTAGTGGTTTTATGGGTTTTACGAGGTTTGTGTTTACGGTGATTGCGTGTTTTGCCAGCTTGTGTAGGTGCGGTGGGTGAGGGTGTAGGTGTGTTATTGTTAGAGCGTGATGTTTGGTTAGCGAGGTGATTTTTGTGAGCACGTCTGTCAGCGAGTAGCGATTCGAGAGATAAGGCCATGGAATCAATCCTAGTAGAATAAAACGAAAAAGTTACTGAGTTACAATGTTCTGCTAAACGGTTCTTGTAAAATATCAGTTCATTTTGTAAATGTTTGATCTTTCTTCTACATTCCTTGGTCAGCAGGATAAGGTGTCTGCAGGCGGTAAGGCGGCAGATGTTTCTCCATTGTTTATACAACCAAAAGTTATTAGTGTCAAAGGCTGGAATGCATCTCGGTATTAAGCTTTTAGGTATAATGTTAATAGCAGTGTAGAAATCATAATTCTTTAAATGTTGCTGATAACGGATTAGCTTGAGTTGAATCTGTTTGGTAGTGTTGAAGAGGCTTGAAAACTGAGGTGTAGAAGGTGTTGTGGGGCCAGGGTTTGATTCAATGTCCATGCAGATAGCATCGAGTGACAAGATGCAAAAGATCACAGTAAGAAAAATCATGACCCAAGAGAGTTTCGTGGAGGGAGCATAATGTTTCGCACAATTTCTTAGCGTAGGTGTGCAGTGACTGGTGGCAGTTTTCGGCGAAAAAACACCAATGCGGAGTCGCCATGAAATAATATCGATGCCCATGATGATTTGATGGCAGCAGGAAAAACGGATCTGTTGAAGACCAGTGGCTTAAAATGTCTCAATAATAAAGGATTAAATAAACTGCAAAAACCATAGACGAAGATCCTGCTAATTGTTAAGGTTGATTAAATTTTTCTTGCAACCAGCTAGAAAACAAGTTACTGCATCCGCCACCTTCTTCTCTATCTTCAGAGTAGACAAATAATCAAAATGTGTACACTTTTCCCCGCAACTGTACTTGCCTTTATGCAGAAAAATCTGACAAGGTTATTGTCATTGCTCTGGGTTGTTGTTCATTTTTCATCTGACAGTTTGCCCCTTTATTGATGGCATACCATGCATGCTCTTCCATCCAGCCCATTGTCGTACGTCCAAACAGTGATCGCTTGCTACCAACCAAAACGTTCGGAAGGCACAGTCAATTCATTGAAAGACTTTCAACGAGTTGGTATTCTTTAAAAGCTGTGAGTGGTACTACCTTGTACCTTGTATAGGGCTTATATAGTTGCTCCAATTTTCTCAAAAGGTTGCTCCAATTTTCTCAAAAAGTTGCTTAAAAGTTGCTCAAAAGTTGCTTTCAATTTTTTAGTGTGAGAGATTGATCAACAACTTAAATAAAGGTTTAATGAATAGATTTAACTTTGCATAGATATTATATACATAATTATATCATACTGACCCATCAATATTGTAAGACTGAGTCTCTCTCAACCCAAATCATAAAAATCTCATTCTCTGTATTGGCTTTCTATTACAATAACCACGTGATTGTATTCGAACAAAACAAACTTTGCCAATGTGCTTATTAAATATATAAAGTTTCTCTGACATACACGAGTGTATGTGGTATAAAACCATAGTCTTTCAATATTTACATCTTTGCGGATGTAGTACAGAGCACTGTCCCTGTTGGTCAATGTTTTGCACCACCAGCTAGTCCTCTACAGACATATAATTCAAGATTTCATGTGCGCTTATTGTCATTGTAACGTAACATGACCGATGTTTCCACTGTTTCCTCTAATGCTGCTTCTTGCTGCTTGCTAAATGCATTTTGCAGCAGGCTAAACACTCGTTCAGCTGATGCTGAACTAAGCTGCACCAACAAGATCTTTTTAACTGCAGCAGACCAATTTGGGAGAGCAGCGGCATGTGTAGCCCACCACTGTACTTTGCCTTCCCCTGTTTCAATGGCTGCACCATCAGCAATGACCAGATAGTTTGGCAGCTCTCCCAGAAGCTGTACAACTTCTGCATCAGTAATGAAACTAAATTGCTTTAGTTCCTGGACTGATGCAGCAGTTGGATGTAGTGCTTGCACCTGCATTGGGCAGCATAAGTGTGCAGCCTTAA